GAAGCTGAGGTGCAACAATTGGTATGTCAAGCAAAAGACAATGCTGAAGAAATTAAACCAACTGTTGTTGATTGGCTGGAACGAGTTGAGGATGTCAAGAAAGATGCACACACTATTTCTGAGGGTATGGAGACTGCTAAGGTGAATTGCTTGAATATTGTCAGGCTTCCGAATTTGAAGTCATGCTATTTGCTAGGCCGACGTGCGGTGAAAAGAACGAGTGTTGTTGAAAAACTCTTAGGAGAGGGGCCATTTGATCAAGTTGGATCCATTGCTCCATTCGAGCAAATGCCGTTAACTGAATCAATCCCGTCCTTAGAGAAAGGCCTAGTTTCTAGGATGTCAACAAAGAAGGAACTGATGGAAGCTTTAAAGCAGGAGAAAACTAGCCTAATGGCGATTTGTGGTATGGGCGGCGTAGGCAAGACTACTCTAGTCAAACAAATTGCTGACCAGGTTAAGTTCGAGAAATTGTTTGATAAAGTCGCCATGGCAACTTTGTCTCAAAGTCCAGACATGAGAAATGTCCAAGATCAACTTGCTGAGCAGTTAGGGCTGAAGATAACAGAGCAAACTGATCTTGCCAGAGCTAAAAGATTGTATACGAGACTGACCAATAGTGACGAGAGAATTCTTGTTGTATTGGATGACATTTGGAAAGAACTTGATCTTAAGAGTCTAGGAATTCCTATCAAAGGTGAATGCAAGAGCTTAAAAGTCATACTGACGTCTCGGTTCAAAGATGTTTGTAGCGGCATGCGAGCTGAAATTTTTGAGGTGAATGTCTTGCGTATAGAAGAAGCATGGCATCTTTTTAAAGAGGTTGCAGAAATTTCTGATGATTCTGCTTTGAGTGGTGTTGCAAAGCAGGTTGCAGAGGAATGCAAAGGTCTACCTCTTGCAATCGTTGTTGTTGCCAAGGCATTAAAGAGCAATCATACTCCAGAATCCTGGGATCGTGCCCTTCGGCAACTACAAGAGTACACAATTAGAGAACTAGAAGGAGATGAAGATTTAGTGTTTTCAAGAATTAAGTTTAGCTATGACTATTTAAAAAGCGCTGAAGCTAAGTCACTACTTTTGCTTTGCAGTTTGTTTCCAGAGGATTATAGTATTCCAATCGAATGTTTGGTTAGGTATGGTGAAGGGCTAGAATTGTTCCAGGATACAGAGAATTTGAGAAATGTAAGAGACAAAGTAGACTTGCTGGTTGATGAGTTAAAAAGCTCCTGTTTGTTGCTAAATGATGGTGAAAAAGAAGACTTCGTAAAATTGCACGATGTCGTGCGAGATGCGTGCTTGTCAATTGCATCAAAAGCAGAGCATGAGTTTTTAGTGAGCAATTCAGGATTGGGAGAAAAGAATTCTTACACGGCAATTTCCCTAATATCCCAACTTGTCAATCATGATCTACTTCCATTTTGCAAGGAATATCCAAGGCTTAGGCTGTTGCGCTTGGTATTCCAATCAGAATTGGGAGTCCGATTAAGGAAATTGGACCTACCACAAGATTCTTTTGTAGGAATGGAAGCTCTCAGGGTCATGGAATTAAACCACTTGCAAATTGAATTTCCACTGTCATGGCCTGGCCAAATGTTAAGGAGCCTTCGGACACTCTGCCTGGATTATTGTAGTTTGGGCACTGGATTGTCGTCAATGCTTGGACACATGACGCAACTGGAAACTTTGAGCCTCTTTCAATCCAGAATTCGGGATGATCGGTTTCCAGTTGAAATCGCTCAGTTGAGTAATTTAAAGGTGTTGGATTTGAGGGTTGAAATTAGCATCCATCCCTTGCCTAGTGGTATCTTGTCAAGCTTGAAGAAACTAGAAGAATTGTATTTGGGATCTAGTGATCATTTGGAGCTAGAAATAGGATGCCTTAAAGAGATCTCATCAATCTCTAACCTTGCATGTCTCCAGATTGCTTTGGATGACTTTAGCCTCCTACTTCTATCTTTGCAAGCATTTGATACTCAGAGGTTGTCAAGATTTAACATTGCAGTAGATAATTACAGAGGAGCAATGATAGATCACCGCAGAAACTATCAATTTCGGAAAAGCTTCAAGCTTTATCTGTCAGGTCATGGTGATGAATGGTTGAAACAACTTTTTGACCCCAATGTTACTAGCATTGTCAAGAGAACTGAGAATCTCACTTTATATCTTTCTGATCAGTCATCATGCTTGAGGAATCTTGTGCCTGACTTGGGTGAAAACGGGTTCATCAATTTGAAAAAGCTTTGTCTAGACGATGGACAATATGAATGCCTTGTTGATTCTACCGCCAACCTTGTTGCCCGACATGTTTTTGAAAATTTGGTGTACATGAAGTTGAGACTTTTGAAGTTGAAAGAAATATGTAACGGATTTCTTCCACCTGGGTGCTTCAATCAACTTCAAGGGGTGGAACTTTATTCTATAAGAGCTTTAAAGTGCTTGTGGAAGGGATCAGTCAAACCTCCGTCACTTTGCAACCTCAGATCTATCGGGGTAAGATTTTGTAATGAAATTACAACTCTCTTCTCACAATCAGCACTGAAATGTCTGGTGAAACTCCAAAAGATAGTCGTAGCTAGTTGCATAAATTTCGAGAGAATTGTTCTGAGGGAGGAAAGTCTGACAGAGGAGGTGCTTGAGCTACCCCAACTCAAAGCGTTAACCTTAAGCTATACAAACTTTATTGGTTTTGGCCCTGAAGATGATAAAGCTGTGGCTTTCTTTGACCAGGTCTATCTTCTCTCTCTCTCTCTCTCTCTCTCTCTCTCTCTCTTTTAGTTTGTGTAATTATATGATATACTTAATGTAGTTGAATTCAGGTGAACACCGAAAACACACTTGAATATGCACTTTCTTTCTCAATATGTTAATTATATTTTCAAAATTAATAATGTTTCATCAGTTAATGTGATGCGGAATTTCTAATGTTGACTGCTGTAAAGGTAAAACTAATGTTCCAAATTGACGACTCATATTAATGTCAGTCATTTCACATACAGATGTACTGACTATTAAATTGTGGTGGAAGTGAATTTGAAGGCTGTATGTAACTACTCCCTATTGTTTGTTACTTGAGCAAATTCTACCTGGAGTCCAGTTGTACAATTATTCATGGTAGTTATTAGTGATTATTTAATTGTAATAAAGACAGCTTGTGACGATTTAAGATTAGATGTGGTAAACTAACTCAGATACTCTTCAGCCAACGAAGCCCCCAAACAAAAAACAAAAAAAAAAGGTTAAAAAACAGTAATTAAAAGAAAAAAAGAAATAGGGTTGTTTGGTGTAGTACTAGTAATTAAAAGTCCAGTGATGATGAAAAAAAATAGGGTAATAAAAATATTGACAACAATAATTTTGGTGCGCTAGTGACGTGTTGGTGTGTCTGTCACGTCATCAAGCGTAACAAACAGATTGCTAAGCAGTTGGATGGATCCGAACACTACTGTAACTGCATGTTGCATTTTGCATTATGGGGCTAAGTTTGCCAAATTTTTCAGGTTTCACTCCCCCGCCTGGAACTACTAGAGATCCTCGGATCTGGTGATGGTCCCGAACAACTAATAGGAGGGAAAATGCCTAGCGGGTCCCTCGACAACTTAAAACACGTGCAGCTTTGGGAATGTCGCTCTATCCGATGCATTGCCAAAGGTCATACGGTCACATTATTACAAAACTTGCAAGCACTTTGGACGTGGGATTGTCAAGGGATAGAATCCCTTGTCGACTTTGAGGGTCTAAAAGTTCATAATACTCCATCAGAAAAGGCATTTGAAATTCTTCCCAAACTTGAGTCACTGGGCTTGAGTGACTGTTCAAGATTAATCCACATTTGGAGGAATTTTCCTGAAGGGATTCGAGTATTCCAAAACTTAAGAAGTCTACATGTGAGCAAGTGCCCTTTAAAATGTTTGTTTCATCCTCCTAGTGTGGCCACCATGCTCATAAGTCTTGAGGCACTTGAAGTTTATTGGTGCTCGGAAATGTGTGAAGTCATAGGTGAGGAAGATGAAGAGGTCAGCCTAGAAGACAATGCTCAGCATCATGACATTGGAAAACGTAGAGAAATTGCACTGGGAAGAACTAGCAAGGAGTTCGTGTTTTCTAGATTAACCTCTCTGCGGTTGCAAGCGCTTGAGAATCTTCGAAGCTTTGGTGGTAGTTATCGGGAGGATTATGAGTTCAAATTTCCCCTACTCACTGAGTTGATCATATCTTATTGCCCAAAGTTGAAGAAATTCTGTTCCGGAAATTTGGATGCACCATTGCTTAAGGAAGTCAAAATAGGGCCAAGTGACAGGGAGAATTTTGAAGCTCCCGTGGATTTAAAGGTACAAATTTCCTAACTCTATTTTCAACCAACCCTTTTAACTTTGTCTCACTTCACTAGATTTATTTCCCTAAGAGTTCAGAATGTATATTTTAAATAATTATTGCTGAGCATATTATATTTTACAGGATCGAGAGATTTGTCCTTTGTTAATTTGAAAATGACATGATTATTTACATATTAAGGTATGTACCTTTCTATATGTTTACAAACTTTATCTTTTCCCTTTCTTTATAATTACAAGCCGCAGTATGCATGCTTTGGATCTATATGAATGAATCAATGAATGGTATTACATGATTGTGGACTATAATTGATTACAAAATTATATGAACTCTCATGGAATTCCAATGATTGTGGGAATTCCAATGTATTATACCATGTATATTTGTTTTGGACATTATGCCAGAGTTGTAATATTCATGCCTCTGTTTTCTTTCACAGAATGTTGTGGGAACCATCAAGTTGATCGAATAATGTGGTCTAGTTACCACAGTCTTGACTGAACTGGTGGATTGGGCTATCAGATATGGATGCAGATCTTAACATGGTTAATACTATAAGTGTGGAACTTATATAAGTTTTGTGTGCTTGCTTTTGTCATTGATATTCAAATAATAAACATATTGTGTGTATAGTATCATGGCTTTTAAATAATAAATGTGCTGTATGTATTGTATCATGACTTTCAAATAATAAATTCATTGTACGTATCATATCATGGACTTTAAACACAAAAGAATGAAGCTCTTCTTTTTTTTGTGGATCTAAAGGTACATGCATACATCCTAATTCTCCTGACAATTCTTTTTTGGATGATCGGTGAGGCTAAGATCATTGTAATCTTCCTTGAACATTCTGATGAATGTCTTGGCTCCCATCATGATTAGTCTCTCTACCATAAAGAGTTGATATTTGTTTTCAATTACTGGATTCAAGATGCTGCTGCAGTTTGATGAGTATGCCAAGTTGTACACAGTGCAATACATCCATGTTGAACTCTCTTCTTGTTCAATCTATGCAACAAAATTACAGAAGTCATGAAGACAATAAAAATCAAACACTGTTGCTAAACAACATAGCGAGGATTGCCACATCTCTTCGTGACAAACTTGGAGCTTGGAATATATCAGACAGATGGTTTAAAGAAAAAGAATAGGAAAACAAGGATGGGAAATTAATCTTACCATATGTATTTATTTACAGTGTAGTCGCACAGTCATATTCAAATAAAAAAAAATCAAATATGGCTGATTTAGTACAAACCTTAAATTTGCTTGAGAAGAACTCCAAGATCAAACGCACTCCATTAATTGTAAACCACACAAACAAATACAAAGAAGAAAGGGCAATTTTCTAGTCTTGTAACCCATATGATGTCCTGATCAGGAAATGTTAAACCAAACAGGAAAGATTAACATTACTAAATCACTTACAATACAATCAAAGGAGTATTTGTACATTAGATAACCATGACACAAAAGGGTAATGATACTTTTCCTGAGTAGCTTAGCACAACCAAGCTACAATTCAAGAGGAAAAATTTTCCACCTAAAAAGTGACTCCTGGCAGAAAGAAAATTGACACAAGGAACGGTATTAGAACTCATACAACTACCAAGGCATAACAATTTATCCAAATATTTGATAAGTAAAAGGCCTTTTTCCTTTTCTTACCATATGTATTTACAGTGTAGTCGCACACTCATATTCACATAAAAACTCCAAATGTGGCCGATTTAGCACAAACCTCAAATTTGGTTGAGAAGAACTCTAAGGTCAAACACATTCCATTAATTGTAAACCACACATACAAATACAAAGAAGAAAGGACAATTTTCTAGTCTTCTAACCCATGTGATGTCCTGATCAGGAAATGTTAAACCAATTAGGAAAGTGAAATAACATTAGGATCCTCAACCAACTAAGAAGCTCGACAACCAGAAAGTTCTTATGTAACTACAGCTAATTTAAACAACACACATGCCAAAAGAAATCCTCAGCATGCCTCTCATCCTTTGCTGATTCTCTTTCTCCAAGCTGCTCTACCTTTCTTTCCTTCATTCACATACACACACACACATACACCCCAAAAGAAAAGTTTAAGCAACATTAGAAGCAATCATTAGGACTTCTTCCATCTAGCTTCCATTGAAAATTTAAAAGCACTAGCAGATTAGTATGCATCCCAACTACTGCTTTTATCATCCACATCTTTCTCACTCTACACTAATCTTTGACCACACATGCATCTTATCACTACATACAACAGTATACAATGTGTTTGTGAATAGCTTCACAATGTGAGACAGTAAAAATATTGGAAAAAACATGCAATTTGTAGCTGCTAATTCAAACATAGAATTAGGAGAATAGGGAAGAGTATGGCAAACCACTTCAAAGCAATCGGACACGCTAATTTCAGTAAATTTTAACTACATTGGAGTTGCTTTTACATCATTTTGTATATAATAGTAACATTACTACATCACTTACAATACAGTCAGAAGAGTATTTGTACATTAGATAACTATGAGAAAAGACACAAAAGGGTAATGCTACTTTTCCCGAGTAGCTTAGCACAACCAAACTATAACTCGAGGAAAAATTTTCCACCTAAAAGTAACTCCTGGGCAGAAAGAATATTGACACAAGAAACGGTATTAGAACTCATACACCTACCAAGGCAAAACAATTTCTCCAAATATTTGATAAGTAAAAGGCCTTTTTCCTTTTCTTTTTCTTTTTTGAAAAGAGAAAGAGGGAGGGGGGTTGCAAAGGATATACAAAATTTTGATCTACTGTTACTCCCGAGATGACAATCATATAAAGTTCAGAAGGATCAGAGTGGAAGGTAATATACCTTGAAGCAAGAGGAGCAAAGAAACCTGGGGTCCTCCCATTTGAAGCAATAAAAAAGTTTGCTCTGGTGGGACCCATTTTGCAATTCTGCAGGAAATAAATTCTTGACGGGTATCCCCATCAAGATAAGGATACCAAGACTGATCAATGCCGAACCTATCCTTATGAGTTTTCAATTTATCACCTCATCTGATATGGATAGCATCACAATCACCAAGAAGCACCTTAATCACTTAAAAACAGAAAATTTTAAAGCAAAGCAATGTTATAACTGACTGCAATAGAACACTAGCCATTCGAAAGCATCAATGATGTCATATTAGAGCTTTTGACTCCCATAAAGAAGGTATTCAAACAGGTGCCCACATATGGATGACATATGACCACAATTAGGCCAAGCCATTTTGAGTGACAGATGAACCAAACATGTGTATGAAACTTCTAAATATATGTAGAACCCAAAGGTACACCCAAAACTTTTTTGGTACACACTCTTGACTCTCCAACCGTAAATGCAACACCAACCAATGATCAGCACCTCTGACAAAAATGGTTTGGGGCATACACAAACAGCCAGCAGAAAAGAATGGCTCTGAAACCACAAAAAAAAAAAATCACTATCATATTTGAACACCAAGGTTCATTCTCAGATCTCCTGTCAAATATTCAAGCCCTACACTGTGTACCAAAAAGTACAATCAAGCAACCAACCAAAGGAGCCCACTAGTAAAGCATGCAGCAGCAGTGAAATGGCTAACCTTCTTGTACAAATTTCAGGTGAAACTCACAAGCATAATACAGTTTCTCTATGTGGCGAATTATCACCCTCATCTATAAGATTAAGCCAGATAAAAGAAAGAAATTACTTATCAAGGACTCTCACTTGCCCCCTGACATGTATGCTGGACTCCTTTCAACGCAAAGAGCACGTGACGCACCTATTACGAGTGGTGCCAAACATTAACAGAGGATCTATGCTTACCCTGACACTAGTGTTCATTTACGGTCATATGTAGAAGCTTCAACTGTCAGACAGGAAAAGGAAATATTATTTTTTCTAAAAAAATTAAAAGCTCACAACCTGTTTACGAAAAGTGACTATGCACCTTACAACTAATTGCAGTAGTCAAGGTTTTACAACATTAATGTTTACCCTGCCAGGGAGTGGTGAATGGTAGAAATAATCAATCTTCTCAAAGTCCCATCACCAAAATGACTACAAAAGGGGAACATATTTCAAACTTCTTGTAGAAGCACCAACCAGAAATCTTCCAATAGGTATAGCAATTTTACGTATCATTAAGATATCATAACCAGTTTTTCCAAACAAGATCCACAGCATTCTCAACATGAAGTTTACTACAAGCCCAGGTTCTACTCTTTTCATTAATCCAAACTGTTGATAGTCAACTCAAGAAAACAACGATACATCTGCAGTGTGCAAATAATGTAATGAGCATATAAATTTTGGCTACCAAACATAAGGACAACTTATCGACTATCTTCCCCATAATATTGAGCAAAACATTTATGCAAGGGCATTATTAAGCATGACACCTATGACAGACCATTGCGTTCCCATATTTGACAGAACTTGCTTTTCTTTCCTCCTTTTTTTGATTTGTTTTGCTTAGTTTTGTTTCTGTCCGTTCTTTTCCTGTTCAACTATAGGAGAGGAAGGAAAGGGGAAAACTCATGGCGACAATTCCCCATGTCAAAAAAGTTCACACCATATGTAGTGCCTTCAGGAGAGCATCAACAGAAACATATGCAATACTCCTATCATGTCCAAATTAGATCAACAAGAACATGGAAAAAAGAATTGCCACATTGTTATTGTACATTTACAAATATGACCAAAAACAACTTAGAGTACATAATGGATATAATAGCGCATTTGGATAGTAGATTATTTGGGATAATATTTTGAAAAACTACTGTAGCACTTTTTTGATGTGATGTATGTGAAATAAAAAGGTGGTTGAAAAATGTGTTGATGATGCAAGTAAATAAATTTTGGCAAATAATTCACTATCCAAATAAACCATATATTATAATGCATCAAATTCAAAAATCAAGAATGGCTAACATACAGAGTTTGAAAGTTGGAACAACTTTTAACTTCTTGATAGGCTCTTTGAAGACCTTCAAAATAAAAAATCAACTGATCGAGATTTTTTACATCCACTTTTAGACAATAATGAAGTTAGTTTGCAGCCTAAATGTAAGCTTGTAGTGAAGCTTGCTTACACAATTTGCAAGAGCCAATGAATGCAGCGCCCTCAGACAATTAAGAGACTCCAATTAGTTAGTAGACTCTGATGAGTATTAGTTGATATAAAACTTGTCATAAACAATTAAAGCACCAAGAGGGCTAGAATTAGACCAAAAAAGACTTCTTGATTATTTAACTAACCTGATGGTGGGAATTTTTCCAAAGCGACCTGAATTGCTTCAGTCTAAAGCTCATATTTAAAGAGAAGTTTATTCTGCTTTATCTACAAGCCACCTGACTCTCCGATTTTTACATCAGTCAGGTTAGAGACAAGAAGTAGTCTGATTTTTACATCATAGGCAGCTATAGTGCAAACTTTAGAATCATGTCGTTCCAGGGTCTAAAGCTCACAGTGTACTTGAGACCACGAACAAGACCCCAAAACAACTCAACAAATGATTAGAAAAGTATATTACAAATAAAAGGAGGAAAAAAAGAAAAAACTTAAAACTTCAGAATATAGCCTCCACTTAATTATGTTTTAGCCTGTTGCTAAACTTAAGTATCATAAACATGAGTGGGTAAGGTCCTGCTTTGTCAAACACTTGAAAACATTACCATGTAAGTGGGTAAGTTAAAAACAAAATAGGAAGGCAAACTTTACCAATTGCATGGTCATAAACCAGAAAAGATAGTATGCTAATAAGAAGAGTGTTATTTGCAGACAAGTTAAATTTCTAGGACAAGGGAAACTCCCACAGCACAATAATTCGTGTTGCACCAGTCACTGATAATAATGACAGGAAACAGAAAATGGAACAAAATACTGCATATAGCACCATGAACCAACCTTTTCTGCTGCAATCTTCGACTTCTTGCCAGCCACTAAAGGAAGAAAATAATATGACAAAAAGAATAGCACTACGGTTATTCTGATCCTTGCGCTTCATGAACTTGAATGATTACCATAATTAATACCTACAAGAAATTTATCAAGATTCAAAAAAGTAAGCCCATTGAGCTTCACAAAGAAATTTCTGCAATGAAACTGTAATCCTCAGTGAACCTCAACTTAGAGGGAGAAAGGGAATGACCAACCCAAGCACCATGAAAGAGAAATTGCAGTGTGATTTACGAGTAAAATATTCGAATACAAACTTTTTGATCTGAGGTCCTCCTGCCCACATTGGCAGTTCCTTGGGATTTCAATTTCATGCTAGTCAATAGCATTCGATGCCACTGTTTTTAGTTATCCAAAATTACAGGTGCCGTTTTTTATATGAGATCAAGATCATAAAAGGAATACATCGAGCAAGAGCTAGCTGCCCAACTAAATAATAAAATTCAAAAACGTAGGCTGATCATTAAATGGCCACTATTTACTGACTTATGTTATCAGGCACTTAAGGAAAATACAGATGGAATAAAATAAATAAAACTCACAAAAATTTTCAGCTGCATCAATTTGTTTTACTCTTTGTTGTTTCATTTTTGCTTTAAAAGCATATGTAAGCAATTAGTGATACTGGAAAACTCGATATCTCGCATCTCTTGGTTCAAACAAGTAGCACCTGGAACAACTTCTGTCTTACCTTTTTCTCTTATATTTTCTTTTTTTCCTTTGAGTGTAAGAGGCCAGACTTTGCAGTGATACTAAATGCTAGTCTTTGCCAGAACTCACCTTTGTTCTGAACTGGCATCAATTGACTGGTGAAGAATCCCTTTCTTGTTGTGTATTGGATTGATGTACATTCTAGAGGAATTACAAAGGTTCTGAAACATATAAAAGGAGTAAAACACAGGAATGAGTAGGCCTTGTTTTGCCAAATTTTGGTCTTAGTAAAGGAACAAAAACTTGGAATGCTAAGACCACCAATTGTCAAAGTAGAGGGTTATCTAGTGCTTGGGTGAGTAAATAGAGTCCAAGAGGCCATGAAAGTGGAAGGTCGACAAAGCCTGAAATCCAGTAGCACCAAATCTAGCTGCTCCAAGTCTTTTAAAGGTTACATCAATAAAGTAAGACTTCCAACTGAATGTGAAAACAGGTCCTCCAAGTGCAAAACACTAAGAAGAATGGAAAGTCTTAAAATGCTAAATTTTGCCAGAGCAAGATAAAATCTCGAAAGTCAAAAAGCAGAACGTGCAGGTAACTAGAAAACATTTGTTTTAGTCATAATTGTAGATAAAGTCCAGCTAAAATTTTCATTAATATGAAACTAAAGTTACACGCTACCACTGCTCACCATGTGCTGGTTTATCTCTGCATGCTAAATTTCATCAGCTAACCTCATATTCTTGCAAAACGTCAAATAGTATTTTAAATCATAAAACAACATTCAAGCAATGCATTGTGAACTTGTGTCACCCATAGAACTTGTGTCACCCATAATTAGTACTCTAAAACTCTCCTCTTCAATCCGTATTTCCCAATAAAGTCCAAGAGAATTATGGGACTAACAGTAAAATCAAATCCAATAATACATACTCTGGTGAAAGCAATATTCTTCAATTCCCCTTGGCACATAAATCAATTGAAGGCACTTAAATCTCCATTTTACAATTTTCAAACATCATCCTCTTTGCAAATAATAAAACATATAACCTTCTCAATCAAATTCGCTCAGAAAATGGGGGGAAAATGAGAATAAAATGGAGCATGGACTTTTCATTTATATCAGTAATAACAATAGTACTTACCAAGAGAAAATCAATCTATCTCAAGGTAAGCTACACCAGATTTAACAATTCATTTCTAGTTAATACTAAGAAATGATGCAGTTTTCCTCTTTGTCAATACCAAACCCATCATACATCCTATCAGATTCATAAACGGAACACATTGTATGCCTCATGTGTAAGCAAATTTTCTTACAATACGATTGTGGCAGTACAGTTGTACTTTGCGTTGCCAATGTTGTAGATAACCATATCTTTCCTGATCAGTAAAATTTACAACTTTCTGAACCAAATTGAGTAACAGAAGGGGAGAAAGACAGGGAAAATCAAAGTGAGATGAAGATTCTTCTATATCAATATTATACGCATTTTATTTACCTAGAAAAACGAGACCATTTTAAGATATACTACATCATAAATAAAGAATCAGTTGTATATGACACTGCAAAAAGATGCAGATCTCTCTCTTCTTCAAAACTAGATCCGTTCTATATCCAATCAAAGTCACCAACAGACCCATAATAGACATAATGTATAAGCAGAATTCTTTAATCGATACTATATCGAAATTCACTTGTACTTTTGCCAATGTTGCACTTTACCAATATCTTCTATCATGAACCTTCATCCTCCCTGTGGGAACCCCTCAATGAGGAAAGTTGGATAATGAACCAGAAGAGATAAAAACGCAAAAATTTCAAAGCCATGAATAATCAAGAATATTCCTCTCATTCTCCTTATGGTAAAGGATCAGCTAACTCTCCTCTCCCCTCTCAAATTTTTAACCCATCCAATCAAAATCATCAATAAATCCAGTGATATACATGCTGTACGACCAAAACTCTTCCTCTATTACAATTATAGCATCTCTCTTGTCCTCCGTGCTGACAAGATTGTACTTTGATATATCATGCATAATAAAGCTCCATACTTTACAACCAAAACCCCTCCAAAACGAGAATTAACATAATAAAGTAGCAAAAGAACAAAAACCCACTTGTCCAACCATTCATATAATCGAGATTATTTCGTTTTCTCTTTTTATTTTTTACTCCAAAAAATAGTATTTACCTCTGAAGATACATTGCTTCCTCAAGAGCACACCTAAGGCTGGACTGCTGGTGGCCAAGGCCTTCACAAGACTCACAGTGCTTCCCAGGACCGTCAATTCTTCACAAGACTCACAGTGCTTCCATTTTGCTGTTCATACCTGTTCCGGTGATGGAATAAAAGAATCCTTTTGTGGAAAAGAAAGAAGATGCAAGGTAGAAAACAGCAAAGCAGCGAATTGTAAGAACGATAAGAATGGAAGATCTGGGTAAATTACGACTAGAGTAAATTATGTTTACCACAACTAGAGCAATGCAACAAATTTTAGTCATGTATTTTTTTTTTAACAAAAATTCATATTACCAATTATTAACCTTTTTTAAATATACAAATTATTACCTATTTACGTCATAGTTTTCAAACAAAAATTTGTTTTTTATAAATATATTTTTCGATCACTTTTTACCTTATATATATTAGAATATTATTCTCAATCACATTTTATCTCACATACATCAAATTATTACCGTATATTTTTCTATAAAATTTTCAAAAAAAAAACAAGCCAAATGGTCTTTTAACCCAAATTACACTTACCTTTTGTCATTTATGAGTCATGACATCCAAAACCCACGATCGAAAATAACAGAATAGCTACTAGCAATACATTTTACTTATAATATATTTGTCTCAAATGAAATTTCTCCAAGTTATGGAAACAATTAGATTCTAGCCTTTGAATAGCAAAGTGTTCATCAATGATTCACTTCAAGGCATTAGACAAAAGTGACAAAACAAATATATAAATAAAAAATGGCAATTTAATTCTTGTAAGTTAAACAATCTAACATTTAACTTCTTATAGCTTTTAAATTTTAGCATTGGTTGGAGGATTTGGCTCCAATTAATTCTCTGGCCATTTTTATAATGCATATTTAGATACATGACACATGTTTATAATTATTAATAAGAGACATAATTATTTTAAATTTGATTAATTATAACCTTTATTAATAAATAAAGACACATGTTATGCATCTAGATATGCATTGCGAAAAAATGGAGAGAGAATCCACGGGAAAGGAGCCTAGTTTTCAATTGGAGGATTTTGGTTCCTCTCCAATGGATTCTCTTTTCATTTCCCATAATGCACATCTATATGCATGACACATGTGTTCATTTATTAGGAAAAAAAATATTTTTCTTTTAAATTTGACTAATTCTAATCCTTGTTAATAAATGAAATGATATGATCCTTTTAAATTTGACTAATCCTAACTTTTGTTAATAAATAAAGACAGGTGTCACGCATCTAGATGTGTATTGCGAAAAATTGAGAGAGAATCCACCGGAAATGAGCCAAGTCGTCGGTTGGAAGATTTAGCTCCTCCTCAATGGATTCTTTTTCCATTTCCCACAATGTATATCTAGATGCATGACACTTGTCTTTATTTATTAGAAAAGGACATGATCATTGTAAATTTGATTAATCGTAATCCTTGTTAATGAATGAAGACATGTGTCATAAACCTAAATGTGTACTGCGATAAAATGGAGAGAGAATCCATTAGAAAAGAGCCAAATCCCTGGTTGGATTTACTAAAAACATCCAAAAACTCCTCATAGAAAATTACTAAAAACATCCAAAAACATCTAAAAGTACCAAAAAATTACTAAAAAAGCCAAAAACAAAAAAAAAAACAAAACACATACCTACACACACATCTCATCATCAAAACTCCTCCCCTCTTCACCATTATATTCCTTTCCCGTTAGGAACTCCTTTTGAGCCAATAGCCCTATAACCCTATTGTCCATCACCTATCCCTACCTTCCTTGCAACCTCTCCCATCCATCCTCCTTTTCTTGCTCATCAACCCCCTAACTCCTATTACGGAGAGGAAGGGGGTTTGACGATAAGAGAAAAGGGATAGGGGTTTGACGATTGAAAGGAATATGATGGGAGAAAGGAAAGGAGTGAATAGAGAGAGGACACTACGGTCATGGACGAGATAGGGGAAGGAGATGAGGGTAGAGAAGGATGATGAGTCCCAAGGGGTAGGAGGGAAAGAAAGGTATTTCAAAAATATCTCAAAAACTCTAAAAACAACTTAAAGC